TCCGAATGGGGCGGGCAACAAGCAATGTGCCTCCACAAGCCTCACGCCTTTCTCCTCCTCTTCTCCCTCCCTCTTCCCCTTCATTTGTCAGCGCGTCCGCAAACTCTACCGAGTCCGGCGTACGCTCCAGAATCTCTTCTCTGCCGCCCATGAATCGACCAACTACCTGCTTCAAAGCATCGAGGCGGACAAGGTATTTTTGGGGTCTTTTCCCCCTCCAGCCTGTACTTGACCTATCTTCTTCCAACACTATCTTCCCCCTCTGACCATCCCCTTTTGCGGGCCGCGCTCTTTGCCGTGTTTTCTCTGAACTTTTCAGCTCTTTTTTCCCCTCCCTCCCTTCCTTCCCAGGTGGCGCTCCAAGACGACCTGGCCAAACTCCAGAGGAAATACACCAACGCAGGCCCCACTTTGCAAGCCGACATGACCACCTTGCGCGAGAAGGTGGGTAGGCTGGCTTGGGAAGGAGGGGTGGAAACATGTAGCCCGCTTCCCTCAAAACAAGGGCATAGGGAATCTCTTTACGAAAGCCAGGACTGCCAGCAGACCTCGCCCGCGTTCGAAGAGGAGCGGAAGAACGACGCTGCGAACAAGAGACATTCCTTGTGGTGCTCGCGATTGCCGTCTGAGAGTAAAACGATTCACGGACCAGGGCCCTTTCTTTCCATTCCCTCCTGAGCAGGTCAAAGAGATGACGGAGCAGTGGCAGCTGCACCGCCAGGAACTGGAAGAAATGCGGTGGGTGGCCATCCTTTTTCAACCTGTTTTTGTGTCGCTCTGACGATTTCCCCACGACCCCAGCAACGTGATAGATCCTTCCTGTGTTAGTCTGAGTCCCGCGTTCCTGTTGTTTTCTTTGCCCGCCTCATCTCAAACTATTTCTGTCTATTCGTACCCATTGTTCGCAGTTCGGAGCACACAGAAGCCAAAATTGATATCGCTCTTCTCCTGGAGGACGAAGCGCGAGAGGCACTAGAATTGGGGGTGATGGAATTGGAGGAGGACAAGGAGAAAGGGGAAGACGAGCGAAAGGAAAGTGATGAAGCAGGAGCAAAAGGGACAAAAAAGTCGATGTGGACTTTTTGTGTTGTTATGTGAGATGTAGAATGGAGCACAAGCTAAATTGATCAATTTATGGAAGTGGTGAAAAGAAAAGGGTTGTGGCCATGGCTCCACCGAAACTCGAACTTTCTCAGAATTGTTGTAGGTCGTAACATTACAATCGCGGAAATTGGACATGTAGAAGGAAACGAAGAAGCCGCCAGGGGCTTGACCGCACCCGATCACGAATGATTCTGATCGGATGGGTAGGGTGGCAACACTAAGGGCGACAGTGATTGACACGCACGTCTTTTCGTGTTCGCGCTTCATGCTCACATCTGTCGCAGAAGTACATGACAGCGAAGGCTGAAGAGATGAGGAAGTCACTTTCGACAAGAGCCAAAGAACTGGACAGCAACGTTCCGAGGTGGTGTGTGATATCCTTTGTGTTTTAAATGCTCGCGTGTCACCAATCTACATTGGTCGCAGCCATCAAACTCAAGTGAAGACAAAGGGAATGCCGTGAAATAAGCGAGTTTTCCAAGATTGCTCCTGGTGACAACTTGCATGGAGTTTGAACGAAAGCATCGAGATAGAGAGGTGAATAATTACTGTATAACTTCTTTCTTTACAAATGAATCTTTACTGCGTTCCTCCCCTCTCGTGACAAGCATTCCCCCTCCACGCAAAGCAGAAAAATCGCTCTCTTATGTACAGGGCATTCAACCAAGTGCCCTGGCGTCATCGCTAAAGCACACATGTTTTTGGAGATATCAGTCACCCCCAAAACAAATACCGCAGACAGCAAGACGACCGAGCTGAAGACAGGACCCTTCCGATCGAGTAAGCTCGTTGACAGTATCCATGTGCGTCTTTGGATGTGCAGGATACGGAGGACTGTTGCAGCAACTGAAAATCTGACACAGAAAAAGCAGCTCGTGCAAATGTATTTGTAGCAAGAAGCATCTCGGTGCACTTGATGAGTACAGATGTCCGTGCCAAAGGACGAAATTAGGAATATCTCGCTGTTACCATGACCAGGCTCTGCCGGTGTGACGTTGTCAACCACATGATCATCAATCATCAGCATTTATCACCCAAGCAACATTTTGTACCCCAGCAACACTCCCCCACTGCACTTCACGAGTCCAAAATTTGGTCAAACGCGGTCTGAATCTTCGTGTTTCTGTGTTTTCAGAGACTCCGACGGCATCAGCAAGGGGCAACAGGGGCATTTTCATTTTCCATTGGCCTGGGGATTTGAAATTTTGAACTGAGCTTGATGCTAATTTTTGGAGTGGCTCGGACGCGTGGCGCCACGTTGATGGACCAAATAATTGAGGAAACGTCAGGTAATTGTCCCATATAATCTTTCATACCTGGAGTAGTAGATTATAAATGCCGTATAGTGTCGAGTTTTTTTAGTGGAAAAATTGCTTTGACCATCATGGCATGTTTTTTGTGGTTGCGCTTGAACCCCCACGTGAAAAGATCAGCCTCCCATGCAAATGGAAGTCAACGAGTTCTTTTTGCATGGAAGAGCAAGTGCGACGGCTTGCGTAGGACATCGGCTGATCTTTCATTTTCAGTATTTCTCGTATCTTCTTGTTTTGTTCATTGTGCAACCAGCCTCGACCGTCTGGCACATTTTTCATCGTGTATCTTTGCTGCACATTTGTATCTGTCATGATGTCACGACGAGTGCAACGTTGTGATCAGCGCTTTAGCAGCTGCAAGCTTTGTGCAAGGCGTGTGAGTGATCTTGGGCTCAGTTCTGAAGTTGTTTTGTAGCACACAACGTGTTGTTGTCTTCAGACGATGCTACACTACCATGAAACGTGACCATCATGTTCACGTGTGCATGGACTTGCTTAGTAGATACGTGCGGTGCATGTGGTCTTTTTGGTGCGATCCACTTAGCCGCTCTCGTGGTTGTATCTTGCAAATATCCGAGTTCGTAGCACAGGCCTTGTCACCTTCCTTCTCTCGCACTAATCACCCGTGCTTCCCTCATATACAACGTGACAGTCCTCTGTATCTGTGCACCGGCAACCTTTATAGCAGAGGTTTGTGCAGCCATGGCTTCCAAATGTGCCTCTGAGAACAGGAGCATCGGAAAAGGAAACAAGGATGAGCATGGCCACATGTCTGACAGCTTCTACAACCACGAGGGCCGCTTGGCTAAGAAATCCAACAGGATTGGGAACATGGAAAATGATGACCACGAACGTGCCCTGGAACGGTGAGTCTTCCGAACGTCCGACGAGTTCCTACCATGTGTGCTTGAGCGGGATCTTGAGGGATGGAAGGGCCGATCATTGTGTGCCTTCCCGAAGCTTTTTGGATTGTGGTATCCAATAAAGATACCAGTACACTCTTTGTTCTCACCGTGAGTAAACCCACTTTCCTCCACCTTGACAGCACCATGCGGGCAGTGAACTCGGCTTCCATCGCCGTGACCCTCCGCTCCCAAGGCTCGCTCGGCCACGGCGAGGGAAGTGCCCCTGGCCTGGACGGTGTCTTCGCCAAGCAGGAGCCCGAGGCCCCCATTCACATCGACACGGATGAGAACGATCCTGAGATCCACCACCTCCACTCCGAGGGTCTTTCCTCTGCCTTGGCCGCTGAACTTCTCAAGAAGTTTGGCCGCAACGAGCTCCCGGAGAAGAAGAAGCCCAAGTGGCTGATCGTAAGTGCTCCTCTCTTTCCCTCTCTCTGCGCCTGGGATCTGCTTTCTTGTATCTGACCTGTTGCTCCGTGTTGCCACACATCCCTCAAAGCTCGAGTCTAAGACACTCCTCCAGATATTCCAAACACGCTTAGACTTTGTCTGTTTTCCCCCTCCTTACAGTTTGCCGAGCAACTCTACCAACCCATGCCTCTGATGATCTGGGCTGCCATCATCATTGAGGCGGCCATCGAGTCGTGGCCCGACATGGGCATTCTGCTGGCAATCCAGTTCATGAACGCCTCCCTTTCCTACTACGAGACCACGAAGGCCGGCGACGCCGTTGCGGCCCTCAAAGCCTCCCTCAAGCCCGTGGCTTACGTGAAGCGTGACGGAAAATTCCTGTCCATGGACGCAGCTCTCTTGGTGCCTGGTGACCTGGTCCTCCTCGGCTCTGGAGGTGCTGTCCCCGCCGACTGTGTGGTCATGGACTCCCAAATTGATGTCGACCAGGCTGCGTTGACGGGCGAGTCTCTCCCCGTGACCATGTTCAAGGGCGACAGTGTGAAAATGGGTTCCACTGTGGTGCGTGGTGAGGTCGAGGCAACAGTGGAGGCGACTGGTGCCAACACTTTCTTCGGGCGTACTGCTTCCCTGCTTTCTGGTGGGGACGAGGTCTCCAACTTGCAGAAACTCCTGATTCGTATCATGATCATCCTCGTCGTCCTCTCCATGGCCCTTTGCGGTATCGCCTTTGGCTACCTGCTGGGCCGTGGCGAGACTGTCCGTGAGTCACTTTCCTTCACGGTGGTGCTCCTGGTCGCCTCCATCCCCATTGCCATTGAGATTGTCTGCACCACCACCCTCGCCCTCGGCTCCCGCGAACTCGCCAAGGATGGCGCCATCGTCTCCCGCTTGGCCGCCATCGAGGACATGGCCGGGATGAGCATCCTGTGCTCGGACAAGACGGGGACCTTGACCTTGAACAAGATGATGATCCAAGAGGAGACCCCCATCTACGTGGAGGGAGAGACCCAGTACTCCCTTCTCCGCTACGCGGCAATGGCCTCCAAGTGGACCGAACCCCCCCGTGACGCCCTGGACACCCTGGTCCACGGCGCGGCGGACATGGCCTCCCTGGCGAGCATCAAACAACTTGATTACATGCCTTTTGACCCCACCATCAAGCGCACGGAGGGGACGGTCCAATTGCCCAGCGGCGAGACCTTCAAGGTCAGCAAGGGTGCCCCGCACATCATCATGCACCTCGTCGATCAAGAAGTGCACGCGGCCACCGTGGCGCAGTGCGACAAGGACGTGGAAGCGTTGGGAGAGCGTGGCATTCGTTCTTTGGCCGTGGCCAAGACCAAGGGCAGCGCGGACGGCCCTTGGGAACTGATTGGACTCTTGACTTTCTTGGACCCCCCCCGCCCCGACACCAAAGACACGATTGAACGCGCGAACAAATTTGGCGTGGAGGTGAAAATGATCACAGGCGACCACCTCTTGATCGCTAAGGAGACCGCGCGTCAGTTATCTATGGGTACGACTATCGAGAACGCGGCGCTCTTGCCTAAGCTGGAGGAGGATGGGAAGCCTCCCAAGAATTTGATGGATTACTTCAAGTACATCGAAGCTACGTCTGGTTTTGCCCAGGTCTTCCCCGAGCACAAATTCTTGATCGTCGAAGCCCTCCGTCGTGGCGGATACAAGGTAGGGAAATCTGTCTCTATCCTTCCTTTCCCCCTCGCGCGACTGTCTTGATCTCTGTAATGTACACTCATATCCATACGCGGACATGTGCGTATCGTACGATTTATGGCTGTCCCTTCCCCTTTTTTTCTAGACTGGTATGACTGGTGATGGTGTCAACGACGCTCCTGCCCTGAAACGTGCGGATGTGGGTGTGGCTGTGCAGGGTTCTACGGATGCCGCCCGTGCTGCCGCAGACATCGTCTTGACCAAGCCCGGTCTCTCCACCATCGTCACCGCCATCATTGTGGCCCGTACTGTCTTCGGGCGCATGACCTCATTCATCACCTACCGTATCGCCGCCACCCTGCAGCTCCTGATCTTCTTCTTCATCGCCGTGCTTACCATGCAGCCTGCGAAGTACGAGCCTGCGGGTGCTCTGGAGGAGTGGCCCGCATTCTTCCACATGCCTGTGATGATGCTTATGCTTATCACCCTCCTGAACGACGGCACGCTCATCTCCATTGGCTACGACAACGTGGTGCCCAACACCACCCCCGACAAGTGGAACCTTAAGGTGCTGTTCACGATTGCCGGCGTGCTGGGCGGTGTGGCTCTGCTGTCTTCCCTGTTGATGCTGTGGGTGGCGCTCAACTCGCACAACCCTGCAGGGATCTGGGCGCAGGCGGGTCTGGCGGGGCTTACCTACGGACAGATCACGTCGATGGTGTACTTGAAGGTATCGATCTCCGATTTCTTGACGCTCTTTTCTTCCCGTTCTGGCGCTGGTTTCTTCTGGACAAATAAGCCGTCTGCGATCTTGCTGGTGGCTGCGGGTATTGCCTGCTCGCTGTCGACGATCATGGCGAACGCGTGGCCGGAGTCCAGGCCTGATGGCGTGCCTACGATTGGCCTGGCTCGCGTGGCCCCCAAGGAACTGTCTCTGTACGTCTGGATCTACTGCTTGCTGTGCTGGTTCATCCAGGACGCTGCCAAGGTGGGGGTATATGCCTTCCTCAAGAAGTACAACATCTTCGGGATCAACGACATCGTTGCGATGAAGAAGGCTGACCCTGTAGAGATGGCTTAAGTTCGGAAGGCGGAAGACGGATGCTTGGGAAACAGCATGACTGCCGACCTAGCGGCATCTGTGTGTGATCTTTGTTTTCCATGTGGGCAGGAGTGGAACATAGCACCATCTCTCAATTTTTTCTTTTCTGTGTGTGGATCTGCGTGGGGATGTGGGGGCGTGTGGGTGTGACGGTGGTGTTTAAGAGGCGAAGGTCGGGAAAGGACGATAGCGCTCGCGTGCCATGGACATAGTCTAAGAGATATAGAAAGTTCTTGTTTATTTCTCCGCAAAGCTTTTTACGCGCTTGGTAAATGCAGTGGGGTTTAATTGAGCGCCACATGCTTTCGATCAGTAAAGAATACCGCCAGAATGCCGAGGACGGGAAGGGAGAGAACGAAAATGAGGGTGCCGAGATGCGTGGGGGGAGACGGAAGAGAAAGAGAAAGAGGAATACAGTGGAGACGAGACTAGCCGAGAGCTTGATAGGAGAGTCGATGGTATTCACACACGCTCACAAGCATGTGCAAGCGCTTGTGAGCACTGCTTTGGATCGAGAGAGATAGTGCACGTAAAACACTTAACACCAAAGTAATGGAATGGGAAGTTACTACAGCATTAAACAATTCTGCACTAAAGAAGATCCCAATTTCCATGAACAAATGGCGATAAAATGACGTTTTTTTGGGGCTCAGTACAATGACTTCTCTGAAAAGTGACATGCTCCTCAGGACGATTCCCACTCAGATACCCCTCTTTTAATTCTCCGTCGCTCACAACGTCTGACTTTGTCACGAAAGGTATATAATGGACGAAATAATTTTATACTTTTGCTTGCTTACCATAGATAAGTGAGCATCAAAATGCCACGGAGTAGACCGATCAAAAAAGTACCTCTGATCGAAAACTTCCACAAGCCATCATTGATAAGTAATTGATGCCGTGCTAAAAGATAAGATGATTTCGTGACTTACTGAATGAGATTCCACCTGATCTGTCTGTAATTCCAACGTGTAGACTTAACTTGGCGAAAAGAGGCACAGCTCTTGCCCTTCCACAGAGCGTTCTTAGCCCTATCCCTTTCTTGCGATAAGAAAGAAAAGCTGGTGCAACTGTGCCTAAAACACCATGTGACAGGCGAGACGTACCATCTCTGACTCTCTTAACGTGCAGGCATTTTTTTAATTGGTCATTTCCGGCTCTGGGCGCGGCCACGACCCCGTCAAGTCAGCGTCCTGGCCCTCTTGCCGACCGAGGCCGGGGTTTTCCGAGCTTTGCTTGCCTTTACTTAACGGCCGAATATTCAGTCATCAGCCATCACAAAATCAGGAATGAAGCACGCCATGACCCCGGAGAAACGTGAACAGCCCCGGCAAGTCCGTCGGGGACTTGATCGCTTGGGCTTGTCGTTTGTGTTTTTGTTTTGCTTTTCATAAACACCGTGTGATACTGTTGTGGTGATCACAGCTTTGAGTGTGCATCTACAGCCCTTCACTTGGTAGATGCGGTAATTAGTCCAGGCGGGTAATTCGCCACCAGGAATGTTCGTCGTACCCCGACTTGCTTCAGATATCTATCAGATGTAGTTTTTCTCTTTACATTACCTTGTTCGCATCCAATGTACGTCGGCATGCACAAGGCAGTATTGGTCTAGATACGGCAGCTTACGGCAGAATATCCAGAGACCAGTCATCCATGTGCCATGTCTCAAGCTTTTTCAGTTCGAGTTCATGAAGCGGACGATGATGAAGAACAGCATTTGAAAGGAGAATTCTACGACACCGAGGGCAGAATATCTACCAATGTTGGCATGCAGTCTCTGGAAGACCACAATCGTGAAATACAGAGGTATGAGCGGAGGGATTGGATTGAAGGGGCTCAGGCGCGTTGTCCTGCAGGAAAGCTGCCCCGAAGATACTATCCAGAAAAATGGCAGAACACGATAATTCGAGACTCACATTAATCAATGCAATTTTTACAGAACCATCGAGGCATTCAGGAGTGCCTCCCATACTCTGAGCGTCCGCTCCTTGGGCTCGGAAGGAAATTCGAAGAGCCAAGTGCCAAATTTGCAAAGCGTGTTCGACAGCTTGCAGATCACTTCACAGGAGGGCAAGGTATCTTGAGACGATTGGTTGGACAAGAAGGGCGTGTCTGAGGCCAAGCCCTACCTCGACGTCTATCAGATTTAAGACCGAAGTCCTGCTCTTGCTGTGGAGGTGTTCAAGGGTTTGGGCTGCCACGTCGTGGGAGGAAAGGAAACAGAAGCAGCAGACGATTCTTGAACAGCTCCATTGGCTTGTGCCTCTGGTGACCGATCTAGCTCTTGGACAGTGCTCGAGGACCTCAGCATGGATCCCATGTTTCTCGTAGGCTTGTGCTTGTTGATAGATCCGGTCTCTTGGTCAAATGTTCGGTGGCAGTGATGGGCTCTGTAGTCCCCTGCAAGCTCTGCCAATTTTCTGGAAAATCTGTTGCAATCGGCAACAAATTTAGGTTCATGTAACATCCATCCTATCTGATGTTTGCACCTGTTTTTATCGATAACGTCTTCGACAGGCAGACGACAGGATGAGCACTGCAGACAACGGCGACGGGCCAAAAAGCGTGGCCGCCATGGCGAAAGCCTTGGCTGCCCAGCGTGGCGAGGAGTACGTGCATGACTTGCTCAAGGGCGAGTTTTATGACGACGGGGGGCGCATTACTACGAACGCGGGTATGCAGTCGGAGGAAGACCACGAGCGTGAGATTCAGCGGTACGTCGAAAGTGGCGACCAGGGAGCAGGGATAGAGGAAGGGGAATGATGTAATCAGGCATAGAAAGCACAAGGTCGCGTGGACGGAGAGGGTAGGGATGCTGCGCGTCAGATTTCTTCTTGTTAATCACCCTCCCTACATTACCACATACCCACGCACCTTAATACCACAGCACGATCCAGATGGTGCGAAGCGCCACACACGCTCTGAGCGTCCGGTCGCAGGGGTCGGAACAGCGCTCGATGAGTCGGATGCAAAGTCTCCGTGCCGTCTTCTCCAGCCGGGAGGACAAGGAGGAGGAAGCAAAGGTGCCTTTGGACGACCTCTTCGACGAGAACGACGTGCCTGTCACCATGACGCGGACCAAGACCGTGACCTCCCTGGACTCGGAGGGCTTATCCTCCGCCCTGGCCGCGGAACTCCTCAAAAAATTTGGCCGCAACGAGCTGCCCGAAAAGAAGAAACCAAAGTGGCTTATTTTCCTTGAGCAACTTTACCAACCCATGCCTCTGATGATCTGGGCTGCCATCATCATCGAGGCGGCCATCGAGTCGTGGCCCGACATGGGCATTCTCCTCGGAATCCAGTTTATGAACGCCTCCCTTTCCTACTACGAGACCACCAAGGCCGGCGACGCCGTTGCGGCCCTCAAAGCCTCCTTGAAACCCCTAGCTTACGTGAAGCGTGACGGAAAATTCCTGTCCATGGACGCGGCTCTCTTGGTGCCCGGTGACCTGGTCTTGCTGGGGGCCGGGGGCGCCATTCCCGCCGACTGTGTCGTGAAGGACTCTCAGATCGATGTCGACCAGGCTGCGTTGACGGGCGAGTCTCTCCCCGTGACTTTTTTCAAGGGCGACAGTGTGAAAATGGGTTCCACCGTGGTCCGCGGTGAGGTCGAGGCAACAGTGGAGGCGACTGGTGCCAACACTTTCTTCGGGCGTACGGCGGCTCTCCTCACCGGTGGGGACGAGGTCTCCAACTTGCAGAAACTTTTGATGCGAATT